CATATAGTTTCAAAGAGATAACTATATTATATAATTTTTTCTATTTTAAAATATTTTTCCACCGTCCAAACCTTTTTTTTTATCTTATATATATAAAAAATTGGATGGAACTCACGTGGGTGCTACTTTTTCTTTTTCTTCTTTCCACAGCCCAACTTTTCCTTGAACCTCAATTTTTTATTATTAAAAAAAAAAAAAAAAATAATAAAATAAAAAAAATTCAAGAAAAAAGAAACCACAAAACTGAAAACAACAAAACAAACAGAAACACAACAACAGAAAAACACATAAAAACCTACAAAAAAATTAAATTAAAATAAGAATTAAAAATAAAAAGACGTATTAAACAAAATAAAAAAAAAAAAAAAAAACTCAAACCAAATCCCAACGAAGACAGGAATGATAAAACCATAAAAAATATTTAAATAACTTAATGCCAAAATAATTACCACAAACCTAACCCAAAATAGAACAAACACAGAAAGCCGCAGGGAAAATGAATATGCCCCATAAGATGAGGTATAAAGCAAAAAGTAATAAAAAATTCACTGATGAAATAAACATGTACAGATATAAAGCGAAAAAAAAAAAATGACAAAAGCACAAAGAGAGAGGTCCAATCACGAGCTTACAGAAAAAGAGCCCTATAAATAATAAAAAAAAAAAAAAAAAAAAAAAAACAAAACAAATCAACAACAACCAACAAACACGTGCTCCAAGAAAATCTTCTATTTTTTTTTCATAGTATAAATAATTATAAAACCAGTCTATCAGTGAGAGACAATTATTGGATGTTTGGTGAGTGTTATATTTATATTTTGATAACCAGATGTATTGATATTGTTTGTTTCGTGTAATGTAGGTTTTTGAAGTATAAACAAAACCCAAAAACCCCAATTGGTAGTAATAAAAATAAAACAAAAATAGATTCAAATTACCAAATATAACAACAAATTTCAATGGAAAGAAAACAAACAATACTAGAAATAACAAACAAGACTCACTCCAACAACCGAAAAAAATAAAAAAACATAATAAAAATAAAAAATAAGGCAAAAAGAAAAAGAAAACACGCGAAGAAGATTACTTGCACTAAAGAAAAAGAGAAATAAAAATAAAAAGCAAAAAATAAAAATAAAAAGTAAAAAAGGTCTTAAAAAAAATAAACAGAAATTCGAACGCCTCAACCATTTGGAAGTTGTTGAGGAATTGTTAAATATTACAAAGTAATTTAAAGAATTCAAAACACAGAAAAAAAAAAAAAACCAAACAAAAAAGAAAACCCGACCTCAATTTTTATTTATTAACAAATAAAAAAAAATAAAAAATAGAAAAATAAAATAAAAAAAAATTCAATTCCATCTAATTTTTCTGCTCAATCTCTGTACCTCAGCATTCGGTATTGCCACAATACACCTCATTTATTCTATTCGGATGTCGCCCTGATCACATTTTACCCAGAAAAAAAAAAAAAAAACAACAACAACAAACCAAACAACCACATCAAGTGCGGATTTTTCTTCTCTACCTGGCCGCCGTCTCTTCGTCTTACCTCTCGTCCTGACGGCCTTGCCGTGCGCCTCCGTGTGTTCCACGCCGCCCAGCACGTTCACTCCCCCATACTCCCCTACAGCATATGGCGGACCTCCAAATCGAACATCACGGTGGCCTTCCGCTTCAGCTCCTTGTTTTCTGCCTTTAGCACACTTATCTCTGCTCGCGCATCCTTATACATGCGTTGGAGCAGAGCCAGCTGGGAGTTTAACTGTTGCACCTCATTTGTCCTACTCTGCAGCCGGTGCGACAAGTTTGTGACTGCCGTCATCGTCTCCACACAGGACTTCAAAGTATACTGATTGGCTTCAATGTCAGTTTGCACTGCCATTTTTTGCTCCACAGACCGCATAGGAAAGTTCAACGGAGCAAACCCTGGGGCGCTTGGTTGAGGTTCACTGGCCCCCGCACCCGTTATCTCTCTTGTTGACTCGTTAAGGTCTGGAAAGAGAGTGAGCAGACCACGGGAAGACGAAGCCATTTTCTAAACAACAGAGTGTTACAGAGTGTCTCTCTCAGGAATCTCTCTCAGAAAACAGAGTGTTACAGAGTATCTCTCTCAGAAATCTCTCTCAGAAAACGAAGAGTTTTTCAGAGTTTTTCTAGCAGGTTTTTTGTCTCTGCTTCCAAGCCTCAGCCTCCGCTTCAGTTTATAAAGACCCTAATGAAGAGGTAGACACGCGCATCATGCGCCGCTCGGCGCTCGCCGACAACTTGGGCGCGCCTTTTGATGGCACGTCTTTTGATGGCACGTCTTTTTATGGATTGGGCACGCCTTTTGATGGCACGCCTTTTGAAAACATGGGCACGCCTTTTGATGGCACTCCTTTTTATGGATTGGGCACGCCTTTTGATGGCACGCCTTTTGAAAACATGGGCACGCCTTTTGATGGCACTCCTTTTTATGGATTGGGCACGCCTTTTGATGGCACGCCTTTTGAAAACATGGGCACGCCTTTTGATGGCACTCCTTTTTATGGATTGGGCACGCCTTTTGATGGCACGCCTTTTGAAAACATGGGCACGCCTTTTGATGGCACTCCTTTTTATGGATTGGGCACGCCTTTTGATGGCACGCCTTTTGAAAACATGGGCACGCCTTTTGATGGCACTCCTTTTTATGGATTGGGCACGCCTTTTGATGGCACGCCTTTTGAAAACATGGGCACGCCTTTTGATGGCACTCCTTTTTATGGATTGGGCACGCCTTTTGATGGCACGCCTTTTGAAAACATGGGCACGCCTTTTGATGGCACTCCTTTTTATGGATTGGGCACGCCTTTTGATGGCACCCATACAGTGTCCTCTACAACGTTATGACACCACCATCCAGTGTCTTCACCAATGGTCTGACACGACCATACAGTGTCTCTTATCCTCTTTTCTTCTTATGTATTTTCTTGTTTTGTTACTCTCTCCAAACTCAAGTTGATTAGTTCCTATCCCCCTTGAGTTTGCGGGGGGCTGTTAAAACCTATCACCTACTTCACCCACTAAACCTAACCCACTATACCACTACCACCTCACCTACTCCACTAAACCTAACCCACTACACCACTACCACCTCCACTTTACCTACTCCATCTACCACCTACTACCACCTACTCTTCTATATATAGGAATCATTGTAACAAATTACAAACATAAATCAATAATACAATTCTCTTTTTCTCTTTATACATTAAATTTCTACAATTTGCAAAGAAAAGACATTGGATAAAGTGAAATTGAAGATTAGGGATTTGTTTCAATGTAATTTTCTTATATATGACTTATTAGGCTTATTGTTTTGTTAGAATTTAATCATTTTTGGCATTGATTGATTGAATATTGAATTGATATTTGTTTGGAATTATGTTCCCGTTTCTCTCATCTTGTTCATCTTCTCTTCTTCTCTATATTCTCTCTTCTTGCCTCTTCAATTCTTCTTCTTCTTTACTGCATCACCAAGAAGCAACTCGTGGTGCTTACTAGCAACTATGCATAGACCCCAAAAACCTGCACCACAACAATCTCACAGAAAGTATTAACCCTTGACAATTTAAGTTCGTGCGAAATTTCATTTAGATTAGCTCTTCCAGTGTTACTTAATTCTTCAAGACTTCATCCTTCACGTCATTGATCTTCAATCCTACATGATCAGCATGATGAATGCGTTCACATTTTTCAATTTTTATTCCTTAGCAAGCTTATATGAGACCATTCTCTATCATGTACACCAAAATATATAGATCATGATAGGCCTCCAATTTTCCTTCCAATCTATTATTGCAATTCCCTTTTGACACTAACTCTTTTTAACAAAAATATTTTCGGACCCATGGGCTTTACTTTGGGTTTCCAAATCTGATAACAGGTTTCTAGCCAATCTATGGCTGCGCCATCACAACTAAGGTCCCCTCAATAACCTCATTAAAACTAGTCAACATAGGTTTGACCATTATGCACTTAATTCTCAGAACCAACTAAAGGCCATAAATCAATCCTTTCATTTACTTCAACTGCACTAGTTAGCACTTGAGAATGTTAAAATCCGTGTTAAAATCAGTTCATTCCACATGTCAATAAAGTGGAACCGTCCATAAACATGATGAATAACTGATTCATGGCAAACACCCCTACTTTTTTGTAGCAGAAATCTGTGCTACATGGACTCGGCAGTTTGGGGCGAAGTGCCCACGTCGACATGACATGACACAGGTGTAGGTGTGGGATCTGTGTTGGATTCGCCTCCTCTCTCTCGGACACGACTAATCAAAAAGGAAGAAGAAGGTTGAGATACTTACTTCGATGTGTTGGGCTCGAGATCTGATCTAAGAAGGAAGCGATCCCTCTTTTTTTTAATATAATTTATATTACATAATATAATATATTTTTATCATATATAACATTATTTTATGCCTAAAATAATTTTTATTTGTTATTTCTTTTTTATTTTTTTAACAGAATCTATTATTCCTTCACTTTTTTTAACTCATCTTCATATAATAAATATATTAAAAAAATAATTATTTAACGTATCCTCATATCCGTATCCAAATTTGGATCTATATCCACGTATCTTTAAATTTTAGTTTTAAAGTGTCTAAGCGCTAGATATGCACCCGCACCCGCACCCGCACACGATACCCACACCCGCAATAGTCTACCTGCATGCATCTTAGTTTCTGTGTAACATAGACAGAAACTAAGGGCATTTATGACGCACAGACAGAGCTGAAAAGCAATAGTCTACCTGCATGCATCTTGCTCAGTCAACAAACACACACACACACACATATATATATATACCAATTAGGAGAATAATAAAATTGCTCCAGATTAGTAAACAACTAGCAATTTCATAGAAGGGCTACATACAGCTCAAGATGCATGTACACACAAATCAAGAGAAAGAAAAAGACTTTAAAAAAAACTGCAAAAGAACAGCAACCACTTTTCCCAACCTCAAGCGTGACAAACATAGCATGCCCCATGTGCAACGAACCAGTAACATTAGGAGGTGGCATCGAAATTACGAAAGGATCACTTCCTCTATCAAAATTTGGTTTGAAATACCCTTGAGACTCCCACCTAATACCAAAATTTACAAAATAATACATTATATACAATGAATTGTCATTGGGTTTTTTCAATAGCACTAACAACTTGTTTACACATAGTGAGTTGTGAATTGAACTTTTCAGCAGTGATAACAACTTTTAAAAGGGAGCAAGCAACTCAGGGAAAGAACAAACCAAAAAATACTCTGCCCCCACTAGGTGTGCAGAGATATAAAGATAAAAGCAGGAAATGGTAAGCAGCTTGAATACAACATAAATATAACTTCAGAGGCAGACGGTGTCATCAATGTTTCACAATAGGAATTGCACATAAAGTGCTCACACATTACAACAAGAACAGTAAGCAAGGTAGCGTTTGGTTCACTGCCATTCCTGAGCCTCCTTATGGAATGACCATTTCCTTATAATAGTGAATGATGATACTATTTGCAATACATTTTTCATCATTTTTTAAGTAAACCAAACATCGGAACGGACAGTTTGATGGAATGACCATTTCATTCCTTTTCATTCCAATGAATCAAACACACCATAAGAACTCTTTCACCAATAAATTCATTATTTAAAGAAATTTAAATAAATTTGTGAGTTGAGTCAACCTCAAAGGATTTTTCCAGAAAGTTTGGGGCTTAAAAGATTGAATCCAAAGAAAATCTTGGTCCCTATTCTTCCATTTCTCCAAAATAATAATTGCTGGAAATTTGTGTTATAATAAGATAGTGGCATGTATATAATATGATAGTGGTGTTGGTGGTAGATAGTGGCATGTATAGAATATGATAGTGGTGTTGGTGGTAGATAGTGGCATGTATAGAATATGATAGTGGTGTTGGTGGTAGATAGTGGCATGCATATAATATGATAGTGGTAGATAGTGGTAATATATAATATGTAAGTGGCATATAATGGGTTATAATGATGTTTGTAATATCTCCTATATAAGGAGTGTCATTTGGTCTTGTAAAATAAGAAGTTTTGAATATAACAGAAATATATTCCTTCTTTCTCATATTTTCGGAGTTCTTCTTCCTCATATTTTCTAAGTATAATAATAACTACTTATGCAAAAAAATAATAATAATAATAATTAAAGATTCAAATTCTTAAAAATTTGAAAATGAAGAGACAAAAAAAAGTGTTTACTGTCTCCATTAAACATACCACATTAGAAAATAATTAAAGATTCAAATTCTTAAAAATTTGAAAAAGAAGAGACAAAAAAAAAGTGTTGACTGTCTCCATTAAACATACCACATTAGAAAACCTTCTAACTTTTCCTAAAATGGCCAGAATATTATTAAGGAGAATAGCATACAGATCCTTCTAATGTGAAAACACACAAGAAGATGACTACCAATGGCTTTAAGAGCAAGTAACACTCTCACTTGTTAACATTTAAAATAAATTAGATCCTTGCTCCTTTAGAGGTCTCAGGGAGCTCATTCAACAGATTTGAGTGGGAATAAAAAATGGAGGAGATTGATCAGCCTTACTTCTTAGTGGATGTATAACGAAAGGAGGGAATTGCACTTGGCTTACAATCAATCATCTTAAGCAAAAGATTTGAATTTGTCAAAAACAATGGTTTTGATAGATACATAAGGTGATCAACTAAAAACTGATGGTTCAGAAATAAAGAAGGCGAGCAACTTTGAACATTTTAGGGGGGACTCCAAACTCCCTATCTAGCAATGACAATGATTTTGTCAAATTCAACATGTTGTGTCCAAGTTAGTATGGTGTTTAATTATTGGTTTTGTCAAATCCTCTTCTTGTTTGGGACTAGTTAAGCCTTGATGACGCCTTTTTGCCCTTAGAAGTATTTAATCAGTAAAGTTGCTACTTTAAGTGAGATATGCTTTGCACAAGCAAGGACTGCAAAGTCAATTCAACAAGTTGACCAACAAAAGTTCTCTACAGTTTTTGCAATCGTCTAGTGCTGACTCCATCGATTAATCTCTTCTAAGTAAGTTTGTTATCAAAATCATATGCATTGATCAATACGAATCTATAAGTGAATCTATTTTGAGATAGAATCTATGGTTAATAGCATGATTCACGATTCAATTCACTCTTTACGATTCATGCAATTCTTGAAACTATCGTGTCCGATAGATTCCGACCCTTTTATCCCTTCTTTTGTAGAAAATAGCATAATACAACTTCTAATAATGTTTAAAACAAAGATAACCAATACTAATGCATGATTTGTTATTATTTTGGTTATGAGAAGGTTTTTAATATGATAAAATCAGATCCAATCATACCCAACATGTCCTTGTCCTTTTTCTCTTTTTTTTCCTCAAAAAATAAAAAATAAAAAATAAAAAATTGTAATAGATCTTCTAAGGATGTTTAAGGTTAAACTATTTGCACCCATAAATTATCTATTGCTATATTGAGGAAATGGTGAAATAAATATAATTTATTACATGGTCCAAGTCAATTAAACCCAATAGTTCCACAACTTTTTTTTTTTTTTTTTTAAACAATAAAAATGCACACTTTTTAAAGTGTGTGAGGTTTTAAAATAAAGGATTTCACTTAATTCTTTCTTATTTTTATAATCTATATTGGATTACTAGCTCCATCTTTTTGATGTCAAGATGGATTATATTATGATTTTTGAATAATTTTATGGTGGGATTTGGATCCACGTCTCTTGCTATGAAAGCAATGTCTACTTAGACAGTGTATTTATGTCCTTATATAAGAACTATTTTATAATATGTGCCAAAATCAATTTATTTCATTTTTTTTCCCCATATATACAATTGTTTAACATCATCTTTTATAGTTTGTATTGAATCTTAATGGTTCTCTGTTAAAATCCACCTACTCTCCACCTACTTCACCCACTTAAACCTACTCCACTAAACCTAACCCACTACACGGCGGGCGGCAGCCTCGCCTTGGCCGCCCGCCGGACCTCTACACATACCCTAGCTTCCTCTATCTCAGTCACTGTCCTAGCCCCTCCCTCGGGCATGGTCGCTCACTCTTCTCTTTCCCGTAAAGGCATCGCATCCACCTGATATGAATCGGAATACGGAGTGGTTCACGTATCCAGGGGTTTGGACCACCTACATCTTGATCCTCTTCTTCTCTTGGCTCATCGTTCTCTCCCTATTCGGCTGCTCTCCCGGCATGGCCTGGACCATCGTCAATCTCTCCCACTTCGCCGTCACTTATCACTTTTTTCCATTGGAAGAAAGGAACTCCGTTTGCTGACGACCAGAGGATCTATAATGGGCTGACTTGGTGGGAACAGATTGACCATGGAACGCAGCTCACCCGCAACAGAAAGTTTCTCACTGTTGTACCTGTGGTGCTGTACTTGATAGCGTCACACACAACTGACTACCTTCCACCCGAACTTGGTGCTCTCCCAAGGCTGCTAACATACGCCATCCTCCTCCAACCCTCCACCCCAGATCCAGACGACGAAGCTTGCTTAACCCACCTGAGCGAGTCTCTACAGGACCCACACAACAACCGCCACGGTTGCCGCTCCACCGTGTCCTCGTCTTCCCCTTCCTCCGCTGCTAGACTCGGCGGTGGTTGCTTGAGCGTCGGCGACAGGAGAACCCCGTCGAAGTCGTCTCTATGCGAGATGACAGTTTCTTCAATGGCAGACACAGGGCATTCTCTCTCTCTCCTCTCTCTCGGACAAACCACACACGGCTCTCTAGCAGGGTTTCTCTCTCTCTGAGGAGGGCACCCACTCAATCTCTCTCTCTCTCTACTCAAGGCAAACCCATTCTTCTTTTATTTATTTAATCACACCCTTGATGTCTTCACCTTTCTTTTCTTTATCTTTTTCAGATTTGCACTTATCATGTTTTTTTAGATTCCACCACTACCCACACACTTCTCTTTCACTTTCTAAAACATAAAAAATAAAATAAAATAAAATAAAAAATAAATAAATAAATAAATAAAAAATCAGTATTATAGTATGATATCTTTTATTGGGCAGACCTATGCACATGGGCACTTTCTCTCTCCCTCTCGACAGACCTATGCACATGGGCACACACTCCACACACAACTCAGATACACCCTTATCTCTGTTGATCCCACTTTTCCCCATTTTATTTCTTTTCTTTTATTTTATTTTATTTCTTTATTTATTTTATTTATTTATTTTTTCCTTCAAAAAAAAAAAAAAACAAAAATAAAAAATAAAAAATAATATACCAAACATAAAAAAATAAATAAATAAATAACTAAATAAAAACATACACACAAAACCTTTTATTCATGTCGGGACTCACCCTGATCACCATTTTCCACCAAAAAAAAAAAAAAAAAAAAAAAAAAACAACAAAAACAAAACCAAACCAACACAAATCGGCACAGTGGGATTTTTCTTCTCTACTCTGCCGCCGGTCTCTTCTTCTTGCCTCCGTCCTGGGCGGCCCTTGCCGGTGTTGCCTCCGTGTTTCCCACTCCACTGGGCATGATCACTACTCCCTGCTCCTCCACTGCAGCATATGGCGGACCTCCAAAACGGAACATCACGGTGGCCTTCCGCTTCAGCTCCTTTATAGAAGTATAGTAAGTGTCAATTTTATTAAATAATAAATTCTGACAAAAAAAGTATTTATAATTTTTAAACGGACTAATTACATCAATAGTCTTTCTAGTTTCCTCAGAGTTTCAGTTTGGTCATTATACTTGTTATTCTATTTCACTTTGATCCTTTTTGCTTTACAATATTGACCCTAAGATTTTAATTATTATATTATTCCATCTTAAGTTTTGTTATATTATAAAAGGGCTTGGTTTCTTTCAAGTTGGTAATCACTATATGTTTAAATCAGATTTGTATTACAAAAAATGAATGACTATTCTTTATATTATATTTATCGTCTATTTTTTTAAAACAAATATGATCAAAACATATAACTATCGATGTCCAATCGTCTTGATTTTTTGCATGAATAGTTTACTCAATAAGTCATCAAAAGTGAACGATTCGAATCACCGAAATCGGCCCCAAAGTAGTTCTACCAAGTCCAAGCACTCTTTTAAGTTGAGATGACAATTTGAGAGAAATTAAACCCATTATAAAAATACTTTTTTATTTGTTTTATCACACAGTATTTTTTTCTGGTGATATTAATTCAAAAAATTCCTTTGGAGAGTTTTCCCTATAAAGACTAACGGGTGGCACACACAATGCGTGTGCAATTCAAATAACTAATAATAAAAACAAATAATAAAGAATTTAATATCATAATATATATGTTACTTAAGTGATAAATATGTTTTTAATGAAATCTAAGGTTTTGGGTTCAAAACTTACTTACGTTTTGTATTTTAGCATATATAAACTTGCCACGTGGAATGCGAAGAAAAAGATTTCACTAAACTAATTCAGGCCTTCACTTCATATAATAGTATAGATACCATACAGTGTCCTCTACAACGTTATGACACCCCCATACGGTGTCCTCTACAACGTTATGACACCCCCATACGGTGTCCTCTACAACGTTATGACACCCCCATACGGTGTCCTCTACAACGTTATGACACCCCCATACGGTGTCCTCTACAACGTTATGACACCCCCATACGGTGTCCTCTACAACGTTATGACACCCCCATACAGTGTCCTCTACAACGTTATGACACCACCATCCAGTGTCTTCACCAATGGTCTGACACGACCATACAGTGTCACCTATCCTCTTTTATTTTTATGTATTTTCTTGTTTTGTAACTCTCTCCAAACTCAAGTTGGTTAGTTCCTATCCCCTTTGAGTTTGCGGGGGGCTGTTAAAACCTATCACCTACTTCACCCACTTAAACCTATTCCACTAAACCTAACCCACTACACCACTACCACCTCCACTTCACCTACTCCTTACCTACTACACACTCACCCTCTTCTATATATAGGAATCATGAATCATTGTAATAGATAACAATTAATACAACAATCAATAATACATCTATTTCTTACATTCTCAATTCGATTTGATTCAGAGTTTGTAAAATTAAGATTTTATTTCACGAAACAATTCTCGGTTTGACAACTATGTGAGACTCCTATAATGGTTTGGTGAGACTCCATCATCCAGCACTGCTTTGTGTGCAAATAATAACCCCATCAAGTCCTTTAACCACCAGTTGTGCCTATGAAAAAAATGTGAGAGCAGGCCCTGCAACGTGATCCCTGAAATGTATGCCTTCACCCCATCAATGCAAAGCCTAAAACCTTGACTTTTGTTTGTTGTCTAGAAATTCAAACAAGCATTCCTTACAATTTTGAACCAACATCATCATTAGACTTGAACCAATCTAACCCTTATTCTATCTCTAAAGCCAAATAGTATCCCCTAAACCATATACCTTGTAACCAAAAAAGACCTAGCAAACAATATTTGATTGTATGGAGCCTTGATCCTCTACCAAGGCTTCATCCTACACCAATTATACCAACATCTTTCAAATTCAGGACTGTTCTGTAAGAGATCCAGAACCCATAACATCAACATGTGCAACAACATAAACATGGCATTGAATGATATTGTTGGAAACTTAAATCAAAGCAGCACACTTGTCATCATCAAGTGAAAAAGAAAGAAAGAAAGAAAGAAAGAAAGAAAGAAAAAGGTGAAGCCCCATCTTTTGCCAACCTGATCTATGTTGCTTGATTTTCTTGTTAATTTGCTCAAGAAGACTTTACTAACACCATAGGAGGAGTGTTAGGACAAAGTCTCCAAAAACTTTCACATCCAGCTTAGTGACTGCTTTAAAATCATATCATTCACTAACAAGATTGTTGATGAAATTTTGACCAATGAAATTATAGGAGAGAGTAAATGAGCATAGGCTAAGACTTGAAACAACATTATCTTGAGGTTATCAAAAACCAAAGACAAAAATGAAAGAAAAGGTTAATTCCATTGCATAAGGCTTTGTCCTAGATTAGGTGGGCTTCCTATAAAACTATCCTTTAGCATTATTTTCACAAAGCAGTCCCTGCTAAAATCACGTAGTGGGTAGTTGTCCAAAAGAACATTCACCAAGAACAAAGCAAATTTACAGGTGGTCTTGTTAGAACACAAATTGGGTTTCATAAGTAGTTTTTCCTCTATTTTTACAATTTAATGACCAATATTTGAGTGAGTTTCCAGTGACGCTTCTACACCAAAAGTTTGAAGGTTGTTGCCTTCCCTTTACATAGATGGAATTTAAAAAGAATTGTGAAATAAGTGACTTGTGTAGTTGAAGTAAGAACAATATTTGCTTCTAATCTTTTCTATTGTCCAATAAATGTTTATTTTGTAAATAGTTCAGGTTTCCATATATGTTTTAGAGAATGAATGTATATATCCATATGGTTTCAAATCACAAACACCAGTATAAAACAAGGTGGTCCTCCTCCCCTACACATGCCCACAAATAAATGGCAAAAAGTGAATGCATTTCAAGACAATAAACTATAAAGTGAAGCAAGCTGAGTACAGATTTTCAGAAAAACCAAACCAATCTATTATCAAGCGAAACAGACATAGAAGTGGAACAATTCCTTTGCAGAATAAAATACCAGTTATATATCCGCTCCTCAGACGAAAAATCAAAGGACTTTGCAATCTCTGGAGAAGTAAATACAGCATTCTCTGGTACAGAAACTGAAATTTCCATTGGAAAAATGTGCATAATCAACATCAAATGCAGAATTAAAATCGATAAAATCATAATAAATTTAGTATCTATATTGTTGCCAAGAAACACGAGTCAAACAACAGGGAAAAAGTTCAAAATTCGAAAATTCAAAGAGAAAAGGGGAAGTGAAAAGAAAACAGCACGAAAAAAAGTCTGGAACTGAAGAATTTTGGTTTTACTAAGCAAGGGAAGATTGAACCATGAAGACATACAAATTTCTTTGTCATTTGATCTTTTTTTTCATGTTTTTCTCGAGAAACAAGCAGAAGAAAAAGTACAATCCAAGAAAATTGCTTCATTTTTTTTGTTTCTCAGCTGAACAAGAGAGGGAGGGACTAAGGGTAGAGCAATACCAGCGAAGAACCTAGGTCGAAGGCGATTGAAATGCCAGTGAGAAAGTTTGAAGGCACGACGTCGGCGAGAGAAGAGAAGAGGATTGAGCCTGTGAACTGTTGAGCAAGAAGAAGATAAGAGGGAAGGGTTTGAGAACGCCATTGAAGCGTTCCAAACCGAGAGCTTGAATGATAACTACTCAACTGGAGAGAGAGAGACAGAGAGAGAGGGAGAGAGAATGAGTACGCTTTGGGGAGATACGAGTAAGTGGATAACTCATCTTCAACTTAACCCATAATGCAAGCCCAAATGGCCGGCTAACAGGCCATAAGCGTATACCTTCCAATTTGTAGCCCCGTAGTTTGGGGCCCAAAACCATATGCATGGTCCAGATGAATTGCCTAATAAACTTGGTTATAGGTAAGGGCATGAAAAGTGCATGATATACCTAATTTATTAATTTTAAAAATCATTTTTAATGATGTGTTTGATAAGTGTTAAATTTTAATTTGTTAAATATTTTATTATATAGGGTCTAACCTCAGTGCCACATCATTAGGGATGGTTTAGGGGTAATAAATTAAAGAAATGTAGAATTGTTGTAAGGATATATACGGTTTAGCTCGGTTGGTACGGTACCCAAAAAAAAAATTACAATAAAAATTAGTTGTCTTGACTAGGTGATTGTATATTGAAAGAAAAATTATTTTAAAATTAGCTCCAACTTAATCTTAAACCATTTTTGAAAATTAGAAGAGTGTCAAGTTCCACTTTAAGTTAAAAAAGTGGAATTAAATTTATTTTGTTCATATTTTATTAAGGTTGAATAATTTTATTTTTGACTTAATTGGTATTTGATTATACCTCAAGCAGTGTTTGATTATAACCTTTAATTATAATATATTGTGATATTCGTTATGATTAGGTATAATCCATTATGATTGTAATTTTAATTATGACCAAAAAAAAAAAAATTTGGTTTTGCCTCAAAAGTATTTAATTATTATTCATTCAGTTATAATAAAAAATAATTTGATTGTCATAATTAGCATATGATTTTTTTATTTTTTATTTTTTTTGAGAGGTACGTATTGTAATATTACTCATATAATCTCTTCAAATATTGTATATATTATTGATGTGATCGGTAACTTTACGATATTATCAACATCATCCTCCAAAAATCATATCAATCCAACCTATATGTCATGTATATTTGATTCTGTCATCGTCACAATAGTAACTACACTGGCATACTTAGGCACCGTTTGGGAAGAAGTTGGTTGGGCTTTTTTGGCTATTTTAGCCACAAAAAACAAAATAGGCTATTTTAGCCATAAGAAACAAAAATCACATCCAACCCATAATCATTACACTCTTCTCTCACAAAAAAAGTCAAAAAAAGCCAAAAAGCCCTTCCCAAACCAAGATTTTTAGCCCAGGCTAAAATAGCCAAAAAAATTAAAAAACCAAAAAGCCAATCCACTTTCCAAACGGAGGCTTACTATCTCAAGCTTGGCATATCCAATTATCAGGGTTTGAATTTGTGCTTACATGGTAAAAATTGAGAGTTGTCAATGCATCAAATTTCAGCTACACGTCATACTAGCTACCCCACCTAAGTAAAATATTACACACTAACACAACAGTCCCCCTCTTAATACCATAGATTTGTCGCATATTTGACAGCACAATTTCTAGTTAACCGACAGAATTTCAAACTCCGAAAGCGTCCAAAGGTGCAGGCTTTGTTTGGGGATTTTGGGAGTTTCTAGCCAGGAATCTAAGCTACTTTGTTTCTCTACCATGATTTGGAATCAAACTACAAGTTACTTTTCCATCTCCCTTTTTTTTTCTTTTTTTTTAACCTTTCATTTTAATAAAAATTGTTGTATTTCTCATTTGTATTTAGGAATATACTGATATGTACTGCAGGTAAGTTATGACATTTGTATGGTTAATTTTCATAAATATCATAGCTATTCTTTTGTGCTGGGTTTAGTTACGCTGCATTTAGTTGAGGGATTTGAGAAGCGATTTGAAAAGGGAAAGGAAAAATTGTATGAAACTAAGTAAAATACATGTATATTTTATTCACATTTCGCCTACCTTTTTCATTTTCCTTTCCAAATCCCTCCTCAAATCTCCCAACCAAACACAGCATTGGAAATTTAGGAAGAGATTTGGAAAGAAAAATAAAAAAGGTGTGTGAATTAGGTAAAATGTATATTTATTCATATTTTATCTACTTTTTCTCTTTCTTTTCCAAATCCCTTCTCAAATCTCCAACTAAATATAGCGTTAGGGTTGTAACTAAAAAAAAAGTTAATCATAACCAACCAAAGACTTTTTGGATCATAACTAAAAAAATAATGTTATAACCAACATGTCATAACTAGCACCACATACATTATGTATAACCAAAAACTTTATAATTGAGGCATATGATGCACACCCTAAAAAAAGAGGTGTATAATAGAATTTCTCTTATATTTTATATTTGTCATTTAATGTGGTAAATATTAAGAGTAATATATTTCATAAGAGTAAATATTAAGAGTAATGCTAGAGACCCTTAAAGTTCTACTAATATTTTAATCAAATGTTTTACATGGGTGTGGGACCCATACCCATGTGAGACATTTGATATAAATTTTAATAAAACTTTTAGAATCTCTAACATTTTTGAAATATTAATGATATATATGTAACCAATCAAAGACCTTTTAGATCATAACTAAAAAATAATGTTATAACCAACATGTCATAACTAGCACCACATTATGTATAACAAAACATAACTACCACCACAATAAATTATAACCAAAAACTTTATAATTGAGGCATATGATACACACCCTAAAAAGAGAGGTGTATAATAGAATTTTTCTTATATTTTATATTTGTCATTTAATGTGACATATTTCATAAGGGTAAATATTAAGAGTAATATATTTCATAAGGGTAAATATTAAGAGTAATGCTAGAGACCCTAAAAGTTCTACTAAATTTTTTATCAAATGTCTTACATGGGTGTGGGACCCACACCCATGTGAGACATTTGATATAAATTTTAATAAAACTTTTAGAATCTCTAACATTTTTGAAATATTAATGATATATATGTAAACATATTGTGTCAATAATATTGCAATGTAACGCATCAAATAGTAAATAACAAATTACACTGTTCTTTTTTGTTTAACTAACTTAAATTTCACTTTGATCTTTTTTATTTTCATTTTAACAAAATTAGTCCTAGGCTTTATGTTTAGTTTTAATATGGTCATTTTTGTCTAAATTACTATTAATTTATTTTTTTATGTACAGTTCATACGAGTGGCACATGTTAAAATATTGTTAATTTTAACATTGAATTTAAATGAAAGAATCAAACTAAAACTAAACTTAAAATTTAAAATTAAAATTATCTAAATTAATATTATTAAAGATTAAAGTAAAATTTGAGTCATACTAAAAAATAAAAATATATATTTTACCTAGTAGTAAATCAATCCTGCTGCATACCCCCAGTGGGGGTCGCACCCCAGTGAGGTGTCGCGCCCCCACTGGCCGAAACCCAAAAAAAAAAAAAAAAAAAAAAAAGTTTTTTTTTGGTCCAATTATGGACTGCCACTTCATTGGGGGTCGACCCCCAGTGGGTGTATGAGCCATTTTCCGTAGTAAATATCAATGGTCAAAGCACATGACAACAATAAATAAAGAATGAGCATTGTTATTCAAGACTAAAATTTAGACTCAATTTTTAAACTTAGTGATGTGGTAATCAATTAAGATATTAAAAATAACACTATGTCTTATATATTCTCTAATTATCAACTAATCATATCATTTTAATATCATTGAATTTAAAAAGTGAATTTGTATATCATTTTCCATAAAGAATATACTACTTCACTGATGGGTGAAAATTTGGGCAATAAATGCCTATGTATTTAGATTTTTTTTTTTAAAATTTAAAATATATAAATCATATTTAATTCAATTGTAACTAACACCACCATTAAATTAAATTTAATCACAAATTTAAATAATAAGAACTTTTCCATTTTCATTTTTCAATACTCCCTATACATATTAGTTTTAAATGACTAAATCGTATTTAATTCAATTGGACCCATTTTAATAATTCGAATAGTTTATCATGTAAGGTTGTAAAAAAAATTCAAATTGATTGGATATCAATAATTAAATGATCACATAAAAAATAAGTGTTATGTTAGGAATCCCAAATATTCTACCAAATCTCTCACATAGGTGTGAGACCCACACACATGTCGATTTGTATGAGTCTCATCCCATCCCATGTGAGAGATTTGGTAAAATATTTGAGATACATAACATTTCTTAAAAAATAAACGATTTACAATCATCTATTTTTCTACATGGTTGTGTGATATGATTATTTGTGGATATCAATATCTAATTAACTTGATTTTTATAGGATTATTTTTGGATATGAATAATAAGTCTACAAAATACAAACTATACAATAGTTTATAAAAGATTGAATGAAAATAATCTTAGATAAAAAAGATATGCTCCAATGCTTTTGAGCCTGGCATTTGGTAAGGAAGTCTTCATAGCTTATAGTTTGTGAATGCTTAAATCACTGTTTTTGAATGAAAAATATGGGGGATTTTTATGAAATCCCAACAAGATTTATAAAAAGAACCCAAGGTTGGATCTATCGAATGAGATCGTAGGGAGAAGGTTGGGTCGCTTGGGAGCAGCTTGTTGTTATTGAGGATCATAATTGGTGATATGATTGAACTCAATCATCTACTTTTATAGAATACATTCATCTACATAATTTTGTTCACTCGAATAATGGTAAGAGTCTCAAAAGCATAAGAGTCTCAATTGTGTGCATTTGGACAGACAAAATTGTGTGGATGTAATCTTAAGCCTTTTTAAAAATAGTAAAATGATATACAAGCCCACTTTGTAGACTCATTTTTTAAACTCAATGATGTGTAAGTGATATGATTGATTGATAATTAGAAAATATATGATAAAAAGTATTATTTTTAATATCCTAATTGATTGTTACATCATTAAATTTAAAAATTAAATCTAATTTTTTTAAAATCTTAAATAGGAATGCTCTTAAAAACAATACTACTTTAATTCAAAAGTTATCAAATTTGATGTCTCAACTTTCCTTTCCATATTGGTTGTTTTAAATGTCATTTCCCTTTTATGATACTGTCGGTCTCTTCAACATTAATAGCGTGATGGAAAGAGAGTTTGAGACGGAAGAAGGGATTAGGAGACAGGTCCTTGCAGGCTACATGTGCACAACAGTCCAATCTACAGAAAATGGAACCATCGACACTAGGCCTTGGCATTGACGACAGCATCTTAATTAAGCACCATTTCTTCTTATATATAAAATGCAATAGATAGAATTCATTTATCCCACAACCACAACAACAAAGACTCACTCCTCTTCACCAAACACCCACATCATCAATGGCCATGGCCATCCAAGCAAGTATAATCTCTGGTAATGAAACTTCAATTCTTCTCAAAAACGCCATCAATGGCCTTAAAAACCCCACAAAAACCCCATATACCTATCTTAAACGCATTCCTATGAGAATCCAAGCCACCCAATCTGCACACTACCCTCAACTACAAGTCCAAGAATCAACAAGCAAGCCACACAACAACAACCAAGTCCCCAAATTCCAATTCGAAGAGTACATGAAAACAAAGGCCACAAACGTGAACAAGGCACTAGACGAGGCAGTCCCATTACAAGACCCAATAAAAATCCACCAGGCAATGAGGTACTCCCTCCTCGCCGGTGGCAAGCGAGTCCGGCCGATCCTCTGCCTCGCCTCGTGCGAGCTCGTCGGAGGAGACGAATCGCTGGCAGTCCCAATCGCCTGCGCCGTCGAAATGATCCACACCATGTCACTCATCCACGACGACTTGCCATGCATGGACAACGACGATCTCCGACGGGGCAAGCCCACCAGCCACAAGGTCTTCGGCGAAGAAACCGCAGTTCTAGCCGGTGACGCCCTCCTCTCCCTCGCATTCGAGCACGTTGCGGCAAAAACCATCGGTGTCTCACCAGACCGCGTGGTTCGAGCCATTGCTGAATTAGGTTCAGCAATTGGGGAAGGGCTGGTGGCAGGACAGATTGTGGACATATGTAGTGAAGGAAAGGAAGTGAATCTGAGTGAGTTGGAGTACATTCACGTGCACAAGACAGCGAAGCTGCTAGAGGCTGCGGTGGTGGGTGGAGCGATAATGGGCGGAGGGAGTGGGGTGGAAGTGGAGAGAGTGAGGAGGTATGCAAGGTATGTAGGGTTGTTGTTTCAGGTGGTGGATGATATTTTGGATGTGACAAAGACGTCGTCGGAGTTGGGGAAGACGGCGGGGAAGGATTTGGCGAGCGATAAGGCCACGTATCCGAAGCTGATGGGCCTGGACAAGGCTACTGCGTTTGCCGCCGAGCTTGCTGCTAAAGCCAAGGAAGAGCTTCACTACTTTGATGCTGCTAAGGCTGCACCATTGTTCCATTTGGCTAATTACATTGCTCATCGACAAAATTAATCAGTTAATTACAATATTTGGTTTTTAATGTTGTTGTTTGCCCTAGAGGGATGTGCGTAGATATATATATATATATAATGTATTTTTTACAATAATTAATTTTTAATTTTGTTGTTTGTGATTTTTAATTAAAATATAAGGTAAAAAAAATTAAATATGTTTAGAGTAATTTTTTGACTTTTTATAAATAAATGGGTAAAAAGTAAAGAGAATAAAATTTTTAATTTTTTAATATAGATAATAAATTTTTTAATTTTTTTAATAATTTTTTAATTTTTTAATTAAAATGTTATGTAAAAAAAATTAGTATGTTTAGTATGATTTTTAACTTTTTACGAAAAAATATACAAAAAATAGAAAAAAAATAAAATTTTTTATTTTTTCGTATGAATTGTTGACTTTTTAATTTTTTTAATAACTTTTTAATTTTTTAACTAAACCGATGGCTTCTCAACGAGGCCACAGACATTTGACTTTCGTGTGATATTTAAACCTGCGATCTGATAAATTTTTTCTTTTAATTACCTTTTTCCCCCTCTAAACCAATCAGCTTGAGATTACGATACAATGTTTGTTATAAAATAATTAATGTAATACAGGTGATTCTGGTAATTTGAATATAAGCCAATGTATTGTCGGCTTACCAAAATTTTTGATCTTCACCTAGCCACGCACCCTAGTATACCGATAAAAATTAGATAGGTAGTGCTGCTTTTTAATTGTTCATCGTAGATTCACAAGATATAACTAGCTGACAGTTGGTTTTAAAAAATATTTATTATTATTATTATTATTTTTTATGATTGATGATTTTTTAAAAATGACATAGGTGGGTCTATAGGGGCTTTTGGCCCACCACTTAGAGTCTAATAGATAATTCAAACACCAAAATCTAACATTGCTGGAGCCCAACGTTACACCAAGGATCAATGACATCTAAACATGTGTCAAAAGAAGAACCAGTCACATAAGCAGACAAAGATCCTGCAGAATTATTATGCCACACATCGGCCATGAATGAGGTTCCCTATAACATTTAATGCGATAACCCCTTCACGTTGGAACAGAACAACCTCACCATGAACAAGGCAGGCTAGAACATAGACTTTCGGCCAACATAACAGGTCGGAGTGGACAAGGAAATGATGAACAAAGGATATAGGGGCATTTCCCTAAATAAGCCAAATAATAAAGGAATTCCCAAACTAAGCCTAATTTTGAAAGATTTCCCAAAATGAGCTAACTCGCGGTTCACAATCGCAAGTTCAACACTTTTCCACCCCTGTCGCGCGAAACCTGCCAAATTTGAAACTCGCTGTTGCGAAAAGCGAGTTTGATTAAGAACTCGCGGTTACGAAACGCGAGTTTAATTAAATTTTTTTCCTTTGAACTCGCTTTTTGCAAGCATGATTTCATGCTGAACTCGCTTTTTGAAACCACGAGTTCATCAAAAAATAGATTTCTTCTGAACTCACTGTTCATAACCACAAGTTTATCAAAAATTATGAACTCGCTATTTGTAACCACGATTTTAGGGCAAATTTTTTTTCTTTAAGTGAAATCGTGGTTCACAACCACGATTTTAGAACTTATATTTAACCCCTCCAGCCCCGTGTTTTGCATTCACGCTTTCTTCTCTCTCCCTCTGCTGTCTCTCTTACGCTCTTTACTCCTCTCACTCTGTTCTCTCTCTCGAGCTACCTGCTCCCTCTCTCTCTGGAGCTCCCTGCTCTCTCTCTCACTCCCTCTGATTGATTCAGTACTGTCTCTCTCTCTCGTTGGTATGGCTTCTATCATCTACTTTACTGTGAATAAATTAGGATTAGAGTTTAAATTTGTGAATATATTTATGTTTGTGAAAATGTGAATAAATTAGGGTTAGGGTTCATGAATGTGGGGTTAGGGTTAGGGTTAGGGTTTATATTCGTGAATAAAATGTTGTGAAATCAGAAATAATAAATTAGAGTTACGGTTTATATTTGTGAAATTTTAAGTATAGATAATTTGTTGAATGTGAATGTTGAATGTGTTGAATTTTAATTATAGATAATTTGTTGAATTTGTTTAATTATAGATAATTTGTTGAATTTTAATTATAGATAATCTGTTGAATGTGAAATCTTTTGCTATAGATAATTTGTTGTTGAATTTGTTGAATGTGTTTAATTATAGATAATTTGTTGAATTTATTTAATTATAGATAATTTGTTGAATTTATTTAATTATAGATAATTTGTTGAATTTATTTAATTATAGATAATTTGTTGAATTTATTTAATTATAGATAATTTGTTGAATTTATTTAATTATAGATAATTTGTTGAATTTATTTAATTATAGATAATTTGTTGAATTTATTTAATTATAGATAATTTGTTGAATTTATTTAATTATAGATAATTTGTTGAATTTATTTAATTATAGATAATTTGTTGAATTTATTTAATTATAGATAATTTGTTGAATTTATTTAATTATAGATAATTTGTTGAATTTATTTAATTATAGATAATTTGTTGAATTTATTTAATTATAGATAATTTGTTGAATTTATTTAATTATAGATAATTTGTTGAATTTATTTAATTATAGATAATTTGTTGAATTTATTTAATTATAGATAATTTGTTGAATTTATTTAATTATAGATAATTTGTTGAATTTATTTAATTATAGATAATTTGTTGAATTTATTTAATTATAGATAATTTGTTGAATTTATTTAATTATAGATAATTTGTTGAATTTATTTAATTATAGATAATTTGTTGAATTTATTTAATTATAGATAATTTGTTGAATTTATTTAATTATAGATAATTTGTTGAATTTATTTAATTATAGATAATTTGTTGAATTTATTTAATTATAGATAATTTGTTGAATTTATTTAATTATAGATAATTTGTTGAATTTATTTAATTATAGATAATTTGTTGAATTTATTTAATTATAGATAATTTGTTGAATTTATTTAATTATAGATAATTTGTTGAATTTATTTAATTATAGATAATTTGTTGAATTTTAATTATAGATAATTTGTTCAATGTGAAATCTTAAATTTTAAATTAGGGTTAGGGTTAGGGTTTATAATAATAATAATTTTCTTGTATATTATTATTGTAACTAACTTTATAATTTATTGGAAAAAAACATGGCAAAACACAAGAAAATCTAATTTTGTCTACATAAAAATTATCTATAATTAAAATTCAACAAATTATCTATAATTAAACACATTCAACAAATTCAACAAATTATCTATAATTAAACACATTCAACAAATTCAACAAATTATCTATAATTAAACACATTCAACAAATTCAACAAATTATCTATAATTAAACACATTCAACAAATTCAACAAATTATCTATAATTAAACACATTCAACAAATTCAACAAATTATCTATAATTAAACACATTCAACAAATTCAACAAATTATCTATAATTAAACACATTCAACAAATTCAACAAATTATCTATAATTAAACACATTCAACAAATTCAACAAATTA